CATTCAGGAGAAATAATTAGTAGTTAATTTAATGAAGTTCTTAGATCAGTTTGTTCGCTCGCTACATATATAATTCAACCTACAAATCCCAGGTTCGTATACACATTGTGTAAAATTATGAACAATCTGAGGTCTATACCATATTTCAAGGTAATATCATTAATTGTATTTGTTGATGGTGGTTCGTATTTTATGAATTTGTGAAATTTATTTTTTTAATCAGCTCAAATTGATGTTATTTGACTTGTTTATCGTATATTAAAATTGTGCAGGAGCTATTAACAATTCACATGTGTATGCATATGTTTTTTTCTAAAAATCAAATTTTATTTATCGGATGAAAAGATGTGTTGACCCAGAATGTTATGGTTGCATGTAGCTTTAACATGCAATTTATTTTTGTTTGGGCGGGTTAGGGAGGTAGTGCATACGATACATGAATTTTTCTCGAGGTAATTGACAATCCATGTATAAAATTTCCTAAGCCACAAGAATGTAGTAGTGTGTGTGTGTGTGATAATTAATGTTATTTTATTTTATTTTGTAATTTTCAATTTTAAAAAATTATATGTATGAACATGGAAATACTACTTGGTTGATTCGGGATATCTTAATGAATATGGATTTTTAGGTCTATATAGAGGTCAAAGATATCATTTGCAAGAATTTAGGAGGCAAGGACAACCACAAACTCGTGAAGAAATTTTCAACCATACACAATATTCATTATGTTATGTGATAGAATGTATATTTGGAGTTTGGAAAAAAAAATGGTGAATCCTACAGAATATGTCATCCTTTAATTTCAAGGCACAAGTTCAAATGATTGTTGTATTCATGACAAATCATAATTACATTAGAAGATGTGACATTTATAGAGTTCAATCATCATCTTGATTTTGTGTTTGATGATTTTCTAACTGATGTGACTCCACATTCACAAAGTCAAGGACTCTATAAGCCTTCGTGAGTGGATTACGTACGTAATGAGATTGTTGCAAGTTTAATGACATAATTATAAATTTATTGGTTGTAATGTTACTTTTATGTAACTCTTCATTAATATTATGAATTAAGTCATTTTAGGTAATTATACCATAACTTGAAATTGAACCATAATTTTTAACCAAACATATTAAATAATTTTTTGTTTAACCTCAATTTCAACCACAGTTTTAACCAAATATATATTTTTCCAAATCAACCTCAACTAAAATCACTTTTTATAAAAAAAATTTTTCAAATCACAACCACAACAGTTAACATAATACCAAACGCACATAAGAGTCTTGTATAATTTTAAAACTGAGTTTTAAAATTATTTTTGAAAAAAATTATTTTTTTATTTTTTTGAATTAATATTTTTTTTGGTGTTTTCAAATTATTTTGATATGCTAATATTAAAAATAATTTTTTTAAAATACAAAAAATATTATTTTGATATATTTTTAAAAACAATCATAGTCACATTTCTAAACAAATTTTAAATGTGGGGAAAGTAGCTTTCCTTATATGTTTATTTTTGTCTTTTTCCTTTCCTCGTGCTTTTTCTTCTTTTCTTTTTTATTTTTTAATTTTTTCCTAAAATTATCTTCTTCTTTTTTTATTTTTTAATATTTTTTTCAAAATTATTTTCTGTTAATTTTATATTTTTACTATTAAACTAGTTGAGAATTTAGTTTTATAATTTTTTTCTTTGAAATATTGTCGATTGCTACAGTGTTTCTCTACATGTTTTTTTTTTGAAATTCTCTTTGTTGAATTTATTTTTTTGATATTGAGATGGTTAAGAATTTAGCTTTGTAGTTTTTTCTTTAAAATATTTTGGATTGCTACATTGTTTCTTCACATAATTTTTATATTTTTTTATGAATTTTTTTAAATTATCTATGTTGATTTTATTTTTTTAATATTGAGTTGGTTGATAATTACAACTATAGTTTTCCTCACAAAACATTATGGATTGTTATAGTGTTTTTCTACATGAGTCTTTTTTATGTTTTTTTTTTAAATTATCTTTATTGCTTCTATTTTTTTAATATTAAGATGGTTGAGAATTTTGATTTGTATTTTTTTTAAAACACTGTAGATTGCTACAATCATTCCCAACATATTTTTTTTGTTATGAATTTTTTTAAAACTTGTCTTTATTGAATTTATTTTTTTAATATTGAGTTGGTTGAAAATTATAACTGTATATTTTCTCATAAAATACTATAGATTACTACAGTGTTTCCTTGCATGATTTTTTTTTTCTAAAATTATTTTTATAGTTTTTTATTAAAAACATTGTCGGTTACAATAATCTTTATCTATATAATTTTTTATATTTTTTTATAAATTGATGACAATACACAAACATGCCCCAAGTCGTGGCAGTCTGCGTCTAATAAAACCTGTACGGCTGGTTGACAAGTAAATTTATTAATTTTTAATTTAAATAATATTATTTTTATAAAATATTTTTCTTATTTTAACCGGACTTAGATTTTGATGAATTCTTGAATAAGACGGTGGTCTGAGAATATATTAATTATTATATTTTAAAGTAATGTTTATGTTAAAATATATTAAAATAATATATATTTTTTTAAATTATCTTAATACGATTATCTCGAGGCACATCACGACCTACAGGCAAGATTGCGAGACCCAGGAAGCCAACCCAACCCCGATTAAGAGTCAAATGATCTATAGTACCTGTAGCCCCACAGACTTCATATTCAACATTTTTTAAAGCAGGGGGAAGGGATCTCTTTTCTGCAATGATAAAAAAGGAGCAGATTTGACTCGGCATAAGCTAACGATACATCCAATAACAATGATCTGCGTCGTGTTGCTAGATTTCTGCGAGAATTTAATAAGAGAAGAAAGCGTAGAAAGAGATTTAGAAAGATATGAGTTAAAAATAAAATTTCAAACCGCTTTTAAATAAGTTTAAATTTAAATTTAAAAATAGGATAATAATTTATTAAATCATCCTTCTACTTACACAATGCTTCTAATGTGGTCCTCATAAATTAGATCTTTTAATATAGCCCTCCTCCTTGACCTCCTCCATTGTTTAAATAAGTTGCATGAACAAGTTAATATCCGTAGCAGTTTTATAATCGAGATAAAATATGGACAGACATCTTAGAGTGACTTAAAGCTGATTAGAAAAAGATAGAGCGAGCACTGGATCCCGCTTGTTAAACCAACATTGCATTTAAGGTCTAATTTTGACAGAAGGATGTATTTAAATAAAAAAAAATAAGTATGAGAGCCATATTAAGAGACTTAATTGATTGAGTGTCAAATTGAAAGAATTACAAAAGTATAGGGACCTCTGAAACCTTATTAACCAATCCTGAAACAGTATAGCCAAGCCATGGCTGGCTGAGAGTGGTGGCTCTCGTAGGCCACTGAAATCGTCGCTCTCTCAATTCTCAACAGGTGGCCTGCATCGTTTGAATCGCGTCACTCATCCGTCAGTCGTGAAGAAGTCTCATCCGTGTGTCATCTAATAAAAGAAAAGATGCTCTCGCTGTCAGCATATCCTCCTTCTCTCACCTCGCTCCCCCGCTTCGCTTATTTACGCCACCCTTCCTCCTCCTCCTCTCGTATCCTCTCTCCGCCACCATCAACCACCGCCACCAGGTCAGCTCCACTCTAACACATTGCTGTAATAATAATATTTTTTTAAATTAAATTGTGTTTAATTAAAAGTCGGAAAGGATTGGATTTCTCACGTTTCAGAGTGAAAACTACGTCATCGGAGATGGACTCGCTTCCTGAGCACCGCATCGTCGTCAGTTCCTCTCTCTCTCTTTACTTTCAATCTTTTCTAATAATTGATAGTGCATTTATTTAAATGTAAGTGATTATTTTTGGCAGTTAGGATGCGGAGCGGCAGGGGTGGATTTCCTGGCGGCCGTCGCTTCTTTTCCTAAACCTGATGACAAGATCCGAAGCACTAGCTTGAAGGTCTCCCTCTTTCC